TTCTTCCAGTACCTCTAAAGATCATTAATTAACGTGTTATGCTGCACTGACAAAAATGAATAAAACTCGATTTACCTTTTAGGACATAAGGATGCAGTTGCTAGGCAACCAGAACCAGACTCCAGGAAATGACTCCAGATTAAGCAAACAAGCTTAAATATAAATTCAAGCTAAAAGACACATTTCATTATCAATCTACAGACGTAAGCTAGCTGTAGCCCGCTCTCCAGACTTTATGCTAAGCTAAGCTAACCAGGTGCTGGCGTTCCATTTAGTGCACAGATTTGGGAGCGGATGTCTCAGCAAGAAACAAATAAATAAAGAAACGTGTTTACCGGGTAAAGCATTCCTTTAAAGATGAGAAAATGCTGCAAACGAGTTGGTTAAATGAGTTAAAACCCAAATACAGAAAGAAATAAGAAAGTTTTCACCTCTCAGATGTTGTTGAAGGCTGATGCAGAAGTGGTTTTCAATATTTTAACATTTTAGCAAGTTTTTAGGCAAATGTTTGAATATCACAAGACTTTTGTGTTTGCAGTCATATAATGTACAAACATATGAAACAGCTGTAGGTCCATTAACAAGGCTGATGTAACCTTATAACAGTACAACTATGAACACAAATCGCAAAATACAACTAATTTCTTTCTGAATATTTGTCCATCCATCCATCATCTCTACACCTTAATCCTCACCAGGGTCATGGGGGGCTGGAGTCTATCCCAGCTGACTCAGGGTGAAGGCAGGTTCACCTGGACAGGTAACCAGTCTATCACAGGGCTACACTTAGAGACAGACAACCAAGCACACTCACATTCACACCTACGGACAATTTACAATCACCAATTAACCTCAACATGTGTTTGGACTGTGGGAGGAAGCCGGAGAACCCGGAGAGAACCCACGCTGCACGGGGAGAACATGGAGACTCCACACAAACGGGACGCGAACCGGCGACCTTCTTGCTGCGAGACGACGGTGCTAACCCACATGATTGTAAATGAACTCTGAGGAGCTCAACCTGACAGAATTGGAGTTTACTAATTATTACATTATTCTCTGTTATACTTTCAGTCACATTTGCATCGCTCAGTATTTCACAGTTACGGACTCGGCCTTATAAAGAAAAACCACTGACTGACTAATTAACCTGAACTTGAACGGACATGATGACTGATCCTGTCCACACATGTTCACTCCACTTTTCCTGTTTCCTACACGAGGCGTCTTCTTGTTGTCTCCTCCTGTCGTCCTCGAGGACAAAGATAAACCCACTGACAGTTCTACTGGGAGGTTTGGTGCCGAGCTTTAGAGGTGTATGTACACATCTGATCCCTGCTGAGCTTTTTATAGCACGCACAGTTATGAGGAACATCTACGGTGCTGCACCTTCATCCCGTTTAATTCAGAGCCTGTAAGGTGTCAGAACATGGGAGCACATTACACATCAGTCTGTCCTTTTATTGTACAAACTGTGCACATATTAATAAAGACAATGAGCAGAAAAGGAGCTTTAAAGGCGATCAGATGTGTGTCGTAATCCCTCACATTTCATTTCACTTCAATTCCATTTTATTTATGTAACACAAACACAACCCAACATACCTCCACAGGAAGCTCACAGAAAGCACACGCTGTCTTTTCTCTTCTGTTGGAATTATTTCAGTTTCACTGATTTATTATTCTAATTTTTATTATAGTTGTAAAAGAGGCCTGGTTGGTTTGCAGCCAGCGATCTGAGCTGCATCTCCTGGATCAGGTCTGCACACGCTGCACATCTCAGTCCCTCCTGAACGCTTCAGTCTTCAGGACAAAGCGGAGAACATCTGGTGTTCTTGTTTCTTGTTGCTACGTCGTGTTGTGAAAAAGCTGCAAAGGCTCAGTTTCTCTGTCTGCTACGTGCCTTTGCTACTGATTTCTTTCTCATTGTGTGGCGGGTTGGTGGTCAGCCTCTTGCAGGGCCTCACCTCCATGCCAGCTGGCAGATCAGATTTTAACAGACAGCGAGAGGGATTTCCAAAACAGATTAGAGCGATTTAACAGCAGTTCACACTGAGCTCTGGTCAAACTGCTGCTTCTGAGTTCTGCTGTCGTCATCCTCAAAATATAATCGCAGCAGGAACGGTCTCGTTTCACTGTAAAAATCAGAAATATGACTTCTGTTCACGTACAAACTGTTATTTCTATTCAGAGTAAACTGGACTGATGTATGTAATAGTTGTGTGTATTAACTGTCACGTCAAATGTCTTTATACGACCCAAATATGTCCTAAAACCTGCACAGAACAGGAGACTCTGATTCGAATACAACCACACACAGTGTCCTCTTCCAGAAGGAAGGTTTGAGGAACAATGCATTTGAATTTTGGGGGAATTAGGAGGCCAAGTCAAGGCCTGGGTCTGCACGGCACCATGGAGACCTGGAATAAGGACAAGAGCCTCACAAACAGGAGCTTAAAAGAAGGAAACAACCACACAGACGGAGAGACGGGCAGCAAAGACACAAAGAGGAAAGACGAAGATCGAAAACATCTGGAGCGAGACGTCAGATTGTCAGACGTTGGAGGGAAGCTGTAGAGGACGAGGAGGAGGAGAGATTAGCAAACAGCTTGGACGGCGTTGGACACATTCTGAGTGTGTTTAACATCACAGGAAGGCTGCCTGCAAAGTCCAAACCTGAAGACGGATCCATTCGAACAACAAACATTTCTAAAAGCTTTGTAAGAAAAAATAAATCAGATGCAATGAAGAGCAAAATCTAATCAGAAACTGAAATACGTCCTGCACACGTTAGTCTTTAAACAAACCAGACAGCCATCCCTGATTTATTTAACCAGTTTTATTTTACATGAAATCAGGCTATAGAGTTACTGCATCACACTCATGGTTGGACAGGTCATCAGTGCTGTCAGACATAACATGACTCAGGCCGAGTTAATCGTAGTGAGAATAATCATCAGTGTATAAGTGTTAAGACTTGCTGAGTGCAACATACAGAGGAAAAGAGAAATCCGCCCAAACCGACGGAGAAAGAAGCCGTCAGTAAAGGCGAGCGTCCTTCATAAAAACTCCTCAGAGTCCAGATCGAAGGCCCCCCGCCTCCTCCAGGAACCTGCACCCATGAAAGCTGTTAAAAAATAAAAAAAGATTTACCCAAGCACACGGTCACACACGTTTCTATTGAACTGACATGCTTTGGAAAGTCTCCAAAAGTCACCCAGCACACAAAAAATTAATCTACGAAGAAACGAAAGCCTCCACGGTGCGGGCCGAGGAGGAGTCGGGGGCGGATCTGGAGCTCCGGGGCCCTCAGCGGCTCCTCGCGGGAGCCGGATCACCAGGCCCGCCTCTCCTCCAGAAACATTCAGCTAAAATTACAGACGACCTCTTTCACAAACCCGACAAAAATATATGTGCCTGTTAATACAAGTCACGGCGTTCTACCCGTCTGTCCTCCTGCAGCTCAGACCGGTCATCTAGAGGTATTGAGTGACTATAAGCTTCTGAGGAAATAGAGAAAAAACAAGCCCTTCATCAGTGCTTCCAAACATGCAGATAGGAATGTTGTGACGGTCAACAGCTTCACCGTTAATCTGACCCGCGACGCCTCAACCCCAATAAGCTCAATACTTGCCAGGCCTCTGGATAATTTACTGATTATGCTCAATAACAACATAAATAAGGTATAAATATGGCTGGCTCCAGGCCAGACTCAGTGGATTTACACAATTTGAACACTTTTTCTCATTAAAGGCCTTTCAGCTTAATTTTTTTAGCCAAACGTAATAAAAGCTGATTCGTAGAACCGTCCCTTAAATTTGAAGACTTTGGTCAAATTAACCAAAAAGAAGAAGGATTCAAAGTGCTCCTCACCGCCTCCCCACTGCATAGCGTACTGTACTGTAAGGTTCCAGCTCCAACGAAACTCAAATGCCCCAAAAAGTTAAAGAAACTAAGTCTATATATTCGTATTTACAAGGCGTCAAACAGCCACGAATCCTCTCCAATGGTACGACGGATGTCTGAGAGCTGTGGTCCAGCCTCGCATGGCGATGGGAGAGTCCTACGACAGACGATATAAAACCGCTTGTTGTGTCGTCGCACACAGCAAACAAACAAAAACAACGCAGGTTAAGACAAATGCTAAGGGTGAGTCACGACTATTCTCCGAGACGCGTCCGGTCTGGATAGTAAGCAGCTAGCATCTCTACGGCGGACGCACTGGGGATGGAGGACGGCGTGCAGCAGCAGCAGCAGCAGCAGTGTGTGCTGGTGAGTCTCAGGGTTATGGTCGGGAGAGCACCTGCCAGGAAGAGATGGAGGCTTCTGCAGATGAACGCTGTGTGAGTTCAGAAGCACGTCTGAATGGCAGGAAACAGAGGAAAGGTGAAGCCGGTGGCAGCTCAACCCACCACATCTGGAATGACTAGAGGATGATATGTTAGGAAGCGTTCCCTCTCAGCACCGTCCCGCATCGTCTCTCCACCAAGATCAGCTGCAGCCCTTTTCTCTCCATCTTCCTGCTCTTCTTTCCAAGTATTGCTTTCTCCTCCTCCGCATGAACATGGTAGATGTGAATGTTCCCGCTGCCAGGTGAGCGGTTCGAGCCCGGTCCGTCCCGCCGTCGCAGGCTCTCTTTAGGTCTCTGGGTTCGGCGTGGCCAGCAGCGGCACGTTGTCCCTCCTCCTCCGGCCCAGCGGGGGGCGCCGGTACTGCTCCCCGTCGGCCAGCGTCTGGGGCAGCGGCTTCCTCTTGCTCTCGGGCAGCAGCAGGATGGAGAGCACGGCCAGCAGGGCCAGGGAGGAGTAGATCACGTGGTGCAGGAAGTAGCCGTAGTGGTTCCGCAGGTCCATGAGCGGCGAGCTGAGGCGGCCCACGCAGCCCAGAGCCAGCACGGCGCCGACACCGGTACCCCTGCACACACACAACGCTCCACAGTTAGCTGGTTCAGACAGTTTTTAAATCTCCTCAACCCTCGTCCACAGACAGAATTTCTTCTATGATCCATAAAGTTGATCTTATTGTGCTGACTGGTTGAAATAAAAACGGTTATTGTCGTATTGAAGGAACAGTTTCAACACACGTGAGAATCTAAATTCACTAATAAACGCATCTGTTTGTTTGATAAAAATGGCTCTGGTTTAACTTGTGGTGCTTGAGTGAGGGTTATGCTAAGCTAAGCTAAGCTAAGCTAAGCTAACTGTCTCCATGCTGTACATGAGAGTCGTATCCATCCCTTCATTTAGCACAAAAAAAACAATAAATAATATTGTAAAAATTAAAAAAAATCAGCTGACTTTCTAGAATAACAAACTCTTCAGGTACGACTGAGCTTATTTCAGCTCTTCCTGGCAGCAGAACTGCAGCTTTTATATTACAAACATTACGCCGTTATTTTAACACTTTAAACCCTAAAACCCGCTGCTGGGTTTGGATTTGTTTTTGTTTTTTTAATAAAAGTTGAAGTTCAAATGGCCCTCTTTAGAGCTGACAGACTTCTAGCCGTTCTGTTTCCACAGAGGTGCAGGACTTTATAATCCAGCGAAAAATAGTAATAAAATAATAATAATAAACTTTATTTATAGAGCACTTTTCAAAACAAATGTCACAAAGTGCTTTAAAATTAAAATACAATGAGCACACAAGTAGAGCAAGAAGCTACAAAACATAAAACTTAGAATCAGGAACAGCTCTGCGATAAAAATGTGTTTTAAGAAGCGACTTATCAGAGAACCAGCCGACCTGGTTTCCTCGGGCAGGTTGTTCCAGAGCCTCTGACTGAAAAGGTTCTGTCCCCCTTCAGCCGGGCCTCTGGGACGCTTAAAGGACCTCTGCCCGAGGATCGCAAAGAGCAATCTGAACGGTGAGTACAAATGTGAGCAAAAACAGTTCACCGTGGTCACCTGAAGCATCTTACTCACTCATTTCCACATCAGCTGAACCCTGATGTGGTTAATTAGATTTTTTTTTTCCCCCTCATATGATCATCAACAGATCCCGACTGCATTTCTCACATTCTGATTCTGTCTTTTGGACAACTATGAACAACCTCTACGTCTGATTTCGTGTCACATAAACGCACAGAGAAAGCTTCTCCATCTGCAGAGCGCTGCTGTGTCTGTGTTACCTGATGATGGTGGGCATGACCTCTGCAGTGAAGAGGATGCAGAGGGAGGCGGTGGCTTGAGAGGAGAAGAGACCCAGCACCGAGAACACCGTGATGGCCGTCTCGCTGAGATCTAACAGAGGAGGAAGAGGAGGAAGAGGGACGAGCGTCAGCACTTATGGATTACCCTGATGACGTTTTTTACATGACGTCGGTTTCCCATTTAGAAAATAGAAATCAACATGGAAAATCTTAAACCCTCCCTGACGTCAGCGCAGCACTAAGTGGCCGCCGAGGGGAGGTCACTGGAAGCTTGATGGCTGCCCGGCGCTGCTGCCCCTTCAGCCTCTGATGCATGATTACAGCACAGCGCCTGACACAGCTTTGACTTTGCTGTCACTGCAGTGTCCTACATAAGCCGGGAGTCGTACTCCTGCTCGGCCACAGGGGGGAGACTGCGACCCGGCCGACGTCTTTGCACAGTGTTGTGGAAAAACAAAAGCACCTGGGTCGGGTTTTTCCATGAGCGGAGCCGACCGGTTTGCCGTTAATCAGCTGTATAATGCATGAGGCGCAGGTTTAATACGGTGAACCTGCACACGGTGAATGGATGATCCAATACGCCTCCAGGATCACATCCACTCATGTTTGCCTTCATTCCAGTAAATATTTGATGAAAACAAAGACTTCAGTCCAAACAAAAGGCTCCTCCGACAACAGGAGGCGGTTTCTGGGGAGCTGGAGTGTGTCCACCTTGTTAGCAGAGACTATTCATAGTTTGAGAAGAAAACAACAACAACAAAAGCCAGAAGCTTACACTCCATGAGCCCCAGGAGGATCAAAGACGCGAGCCCCGTCATCGTCATGGCGAGGAGCAGGATGCCACGGCGACCGCACCTGTCCACGGTCGCCCAGAGCAACAGCCAGGCGCCGCCCCCCGCGCACACAGACAGCAGGTAGGTCCAGTAGAAGCTGGGGGCGGTGCCTCTGACGTCACCGCGGAAGGAGCTGTAGCAGTGACTAATGCCGTGAGAGATGAATCTGGGGGAGGAAGGGCACAGAGACAAAGAGTGTGTGAGTGTGTGTGTTTGTGTGTGTGTGTGTGTGTGTGCGTGTAAACAGGTTTTAAAAAGACAACGTAAAAATCTGTGAGCAAAGGTGAACGTTTCAGGGATGAAATATGAGGCTGCGGCGGCGCCAAACGGGCCCGTAAGTAAAGTGCCACGCAGACAGAACTGGAAAGTGCAGCGTGGCCGAATCAACGGGGACGACTTACGAGGTGAAGCCGAGCACACACATGTTCTTCCAGATGTTCCTGCTGTGGAAGAGCTCGGGGAAGGACAGGTGGGGGCGCGAGGAGGGGGCCGGCTCCGAGTCCAGCTCTGCAGAAACAGGACGGAGCAGAGGGTCAGTTTGTGAGCCGTTAAACACAGAGGACGAAGCTCTGACCTGGTTTAATGATAATCAACTCGTTAGTAACGTGAAAAGGCACATGTACATACAGGAGAATGCAGGTCTTATTTTAATTGGCCATGAAGAGGTTCTTCAACCGTAGAAATGTAGCATAGAAACATTTAATAAGTACAACACACTCTGATTTAATTAGAAGTGGAGACGTGGCTGTTTTATGCATTAATTTACTTGTAAACAAACCATTCCAACTCCTCCTATTAGGTGTCTACTACAGACATTAACAAATCCTATTTAAAAAAAAAGCTGAAGATATAAATACAGTTGTGACTCGATAATCCGACACTAAATCTAAAACCTTCTTTTATGTCGGATTGTCAAGACGGAGGTCCAGATACGAGGAGGGCTTGATGCTGGAAGGCTCATTAGTTGTTAATTATTGTACATAGTTGTTATAATAACTAGTAGTTCTGGTCCCAATAGAACTTTCTGCTCTCTGGATATTCAGGCCCAATTAATGATGAATATCAGAACATTCTGTGCGGTCGGGGGACACTTCCACCTCGGGGCAGCGCTCTGATGGGGTGGAAGTGTCCAGAACACACAGGCAGTACTTGGCTGCTGATGCTAGTTTAGTTAGCGCTCACACTTCTGTTTCCTCCATCGGTGGCGGCGGGGGAGTGGCAGATACGCTCCACCGTTACCATCCATGTTTACTTCCATAAACACTGAGCGCGCTCGCTGCGTGTGACGTCGTCGTGTCCTCTTCTGCGCATGCGGGACACTTTTGGGTCGTATGAAGTTCACACAGCAGATCACATACAAGTCGCATTGAAGTGGAAACGTGAAGGAAGTCACAAAGAAATCCTCATTGAGCATCAAGTCCTGCAGTGTGAACGTAGCCAATCTGTGGGATTGTTCAGTCAGATAATACGCCGTCATCCTGATTGGTGACATTAAATGTCATGTCGGAGTCACAATCCAAGGCTGTCGCTATGTTAAGGCTGTTTTTATGGGTTCTGTTGGTTTTTCCTAAAAACCTGTTGGACAGCAGGTTTAGGATTGTTCAGGGTTGATTATTGAGTCACGACTGTACATGATAACTTTATGACTAATGGGACAAAGAATATTTTCAAATACATGAATCAACATTTAATCCTTCGACAGCGAGTGGACGACTATCCTGCCCTGATGAAGGCCGTGTGTGTGTGTGTGTGTGTGTGTGTAATGGATGTAAAGGACGATGACGTCAGTGTTCATGTGTTCAGGTTTCACACGCCGTCGTTACTTCACAGCACACGTATGAACATTGACTGTGTGTAATATTACATCATTAAATGTCGGCGCTGTGTTTGGATCAATCAGAACCGATGACACTTGTGCAAACTGTGCTAATGACTACTTAAGACGCCGTGAAGTGTTTATAGATCGGCGTTCGATATTCAAATGAGAGACGCTGCTTCATCACATCTGATAAAGACTGGAGATGCTTCTTTATCAGAGGTTTCTACAGACCTGAGGGGCTGCTTTCATGTAAGTGGAAATGAACCTGAATCCGTCTTTGCTCCTGTAAACATGTTCGAGGACATTAAAGTGGCAACAGACACGTTTCACTCATTATGAAGTAAACACTGATTGCAGAAGAATAATGACACCGTCGGCGTTCAGACTGATTCCTCGTAAGCTTCACTACTCCAGGTCTGAAATAAACTTTAAAATAAGGCTTGATTTACAGTTAAACAGAGTGACTGTTGATGACCTTGTTAAAACCAACACTGGTATTATCGTATGTTGCTGAGATGTTTCCACACGAGTCCATTTTCGTGCTTTACTTCTGTTTTTACGGATCACAGCTGTTAAATACTATCAGTTTTCATGTGCAATACATCTGTGGTTGGAGTCAACGGTGCTTCTAACACAATCCAATATATTACGGAGGTCATTTGGACTAAGCATGGACTAACTGGACTCAGTTCGTGGCAAAGATGTAAACATGTCTGTACATCTGGGTTTTGATGAAAGTAGATGAAAAGAAAAATGTATTTCAATAGAAAAAAAATCACAGTTTTGCTGTTATCTACGGTGGCCGACGGCGACAAATGATGGGCATAAACAGAAACGCGCTGCAAAAGGAAAACGCTGCATATCCACCAGGGATGCACGATATATCAGCGACCACGTCGGTATCGACCGATATTAGTGCTTTTTCTGATATATCGGTATCGGTGTGATGAACAAATTTAGTCGATGATTGTCTAACATCAGCGTCTTCGTCTCTACATCTGATGTCGCTGCTGTTTCACAGATGTTTTTACTTAAATGGTCCTGAACTTAAATATGTTTAAATATGTTTTACTTTTGTTTCTTAATAGAGAAGTCTATGTGGTCTAATTGAGCATCTTTTGAATTTTTTCATCACAATGCTAACTGTACTCATTTTTCGGTGAATATCGACATCAATAATATCGGTGATCGACGATATCAGAAATGTTGATATCGGTATCGGCCAAAAATTTTATTGTCGCGCATCACTAATATCCAGAAGTTCCCCAGGCAGCTAGGGGCAGTAGTGAGCTTTTTAGTCACTGTGATTATATGGAGGTGGTGTTTTACTACCGTCTCCCTGTGTTCTCTGTTATGTTTATCCATGGAGACCAGAGAATACAAACCTTTCCATACAGCTTTTCCCTCAACTAACGTTACCTGTCTCGCTCACCGCCGTCTGCCTCTCAGGTGAAAAGCTCACTACTGCCCCTAGAGGCCTGGGGCACCTCCGCTGTGTGACTGGATATGCAGCGTTTTCCTTTAGCATTTGTTTTCAGGTATGCAGCGCGTCTGTGTTTTCAGCGTTTGCTTTTTGTTTGTGTTTACGCATTCATGTACATGCAGCTCGTTTGTGTACATGCACATCTGTAGTTCTCCTAATGCAGCAGTAAAGTCTGTCGGACCTCAAGAACCATAAGGGCAGTGACAAGAAAACACAAGCGGTTAATGCACAGCATAAAATCGACTGCTACACGCTCACATCCTGGGAAACACTGGAGCCCAGTAAAGGTCCAGCTCAGGTTTTATCTGCCAGCAGCAGCTCATTAGAACTGTGTGTCTTAAATAAATCATGAGTTACAGCTGAGCATCACTACCTGTGTGTCTGTGTGTGTGTGTGTGTGATCGGTGCTTATATGTTGAAATGCACTGCGATAAGTAACCCATGAATAATGCAGGCTTCACAAACGCCCATTTACTCGAACTCACCTGTGAAGCTCTCGTCGTCCCTCACGTCTCTGTTGGAGTTCCTCCTCTCGCTGAACGCGTTCATGTCGGCGGATCGCTCGGACAGAAGCAGCCAGCGAGGAGACTCTGGAAACACCCCGGGAACCCTGCAGGAGAGCAAAGGTGGAGCGTAAGTCCAGCTTTGATCGTCGGTGACTGTTACCCTGCGACACGATTGTTGAGCAGCTTTAGGAGTTTGTTGCTCCTTCAGCATGGAAACTACCCAGGGTGTGTCGCCCAGGAGCAGAACGCTGTAATCCTCCCTTAATAAAACCTGCAATTCATAGCCGGTAATCTTCCTGTAATCTCCGTTAATTTGGTTTTGAAGCTGCGGTTGAGGCTTATCGCGTCGCAGAGGTTTTTAAAGTCGCTCTAATGTGTTGTGACGCGAGCTGAAACGCTGCGAGTGACGAGGGGATCAATGCAATCTAACGAAGCTCTCGGCGAGTCGGCTGGCATCAGGACTCTGATCAGACGACTATCAGGTTCTTCTTATTTATCCTGATGAGAGACACTGAGAATGTGACACCTACATTTAAAAACACACACAAAAAGCAATATTACGACTACAGGATTATTCCGATCACTGCTGGGTTCTCAGGTGTTTCAGGCTAAAATGTTTTTTACTGCCCTGCTTTCATGCTGTGTGTGAATGTACAGATCTGTGCACCAAAGAAGACTCCAAGAAGCAAAACACAAATAAAACTGTGCCAAAACTTTTCACCAAAACTTAACTCAACCCCCCATGTTCATGTGCTGCCATGCGGTGATCAATAACACCTCTGTTACTGAGATCTGTCGTGGAGAAGGACGAGGACTACGTGAGGGGATTTCAGCAAGATCTTCAATATTCTACTTCCTGGTTTTGGTGCATCCACACCTCTACAGCTTGTGGTGCTTTTTCACTGAGTTACTCTTTACACACGATTTGTTCTCGCTTAACATCACTTGCCCTAAATCCAAAACACTTCCAAACAATGGATCCGTTTTGAGGGATTCGCTTCTTCACCTTCTGCTGCAGACATTAGCTTTCGCCCGTCGGCTCTCTGTTGTGTAACGCTCTCCTACTCTGGAATGCAACCTGTGCAAAAGTTTTCTGCTTGTTGGGGCTGCAGGGGTAAAAAAAAAAAAAACAACAAAAAGCATCCTGACTGCTCCCTGATGGCTGGCTGATGGAAAATGCAGCAGCTGTCTATGAGCAGAGCACATGTTTTAACCATCAACGTGAATCGTGATCCTGAATCGTGCAGCCCTGGTAGAGGCAGGCTCGTACCCGTAGCTGAGAAAGAGGGTCAACGGGGCGGCTCCGGCTCCCAGCAGGCCCCTCCAGGACTGGCAGCCGAGGGCCACGGCCAGCAGCAGCAGCTCCCCGGCCACGGTCATCAGCCCGGCCAGCATGGTCACCACCAGCCGGAGGGACGGCTCGCACAGCTCCAGGCCTGACAGAGCAACACAACATGTCAGGGTGACGCCAACACAGCAGCCTGCAACACACTCTGATTCATGCTTTTGACCCCTTAAAGCCCAGAAACATCCAACCCTGACTTCTTGTTATGTGAAAAGAACAAAGACGTTCCAGCAGGTTGTTTTCTTTTCATGATATATTTTCTGCACGTCGTCAGAAAACATCTGCAGCGAGTTTATGGATGTTCCTCTAGAACTAGATGAGCAGATGTGACGGTCCTGAACAGGACAGACGTGTTCTACTGACCAATGAGAGAGCAGGATGAAGCCTTTAGCAAAAATATGACTCTCAAAGCCCTCTTAAACTTCTAAACTACTTTTTGTGTACGTGCTGCCACAATAAATCCATGAAGAAGCAAACCACAAACTTCTCTTGAATGTACACAAGTTTGTATTTCATGCAGATCCCTTTAAGGAAGTCCTGGAGCTTTAGTGGTACACTTTTGAATTTGTCCGTTATTTCTAATTTTCCACGTGTGTTTGGTCATTAACATAAAGAACCGGTTACATCCAGAATCACTAAATTCAGTCCGTCTGAGGTTTAACATGCAGTCAGAGCAACATGAAGGTTACAGTCGTGACTCGATAATCCGACACTAAACGTAAAACCTTCTTTTATGTCAAGACGGAGGTCCAGATACAAGGAGGGCTTGATGCTGGAAGGCTCATTAGTTGTTCATTATTGTTCATAGTTGTTATAATAACTAGTAGGGCTGGTCCCAGTAGAACTTTCTGCTCTCTGGATATTTAATTAATGATGAATATCAGAATATTCAGTGCGGTCGGGGGACACTTCCACCCCGGGGCAGCGCTCTGACGGGGTGGAAGTGTCCAGAACACACAGGCAGTACTTGGCTGCTGATGCTAGTTTAGTTAGCGCTCACACTTCTGTTTCCTCCATCGGTGGCGGCGGGGGAGTGGCAGATACGCTCCACCGTTACCATCCATGTTTACTTCCATAAACACTGAGCACGCTCGCTGCGTGTGACGTCGTCGTGTCCTCTTCTGCGCATGCGGGACACTTTTGGCTCGTATGAAGTTCACACAGCAGATCACATACAAGTCGCATTGAAGTGGAAACGTGAAGGAAGTCACAAAGAAATCCTCATTGAGCATCAAGTCCTGCAGTGTGAACGTAGCCAATCTGTGGGATTGTTCAGTCAGATAATACGCCGTCATCCTGATTGGTGACATTAAATGTCATGTCGGAGTCAGAATCCAAGGCTGTCGCTATGTTAAGGCTGTTTTTATAGGTTCTGTTGGTTTTTCCTACAAACCTGTCAGATAACAAAGTTTAGGATTGTTAAGGGTCGATTATCGAGTCATGACTGTACTTCCTGCACTAGGGAGCGAAAACAACCCGATCCATGCTGCAGCTACAACTTGTGCAAAACAAATATAAAGGCACCAATAGGATCCTTTCCTTTGCATGTCTGTCTGGAGCACAGCAGGTGGATTTTACTGAAACAAACAAGAACGCTGAAACACTCACGGGTGATGTACAGAGTGAGATAGACTCCTGCGCTGGCGGCAGCCAGACAGAAACGCATGACGATGAAGATCGACGGGTACGGAGAGACGCAAACCAGCACGCCGAACACCACCGACAGGGTCAGAGAGGTCAGCAGGGTCTTGGATCTGCCCAACCTGCAGCCAAACACAGAGAGGGGTTGGAGATTCCTCAACAGTATAATGAACAAAATGACATTTACAACAGTCAAACATTAATATAAGAGCTGATCATGTAACAGCAAAAACTCACTGCTTAAATATTAACACTGAGACAGAGCAGGACAGAAAACAGGACAAAGATCTGCTCCTCTACACGTTTACATAACTTCAAAATCCATGAATGCTGCTGACATGTTTCCAGTTTCATGCAAATTACACAATAGAGTGAACAATAAAGACACTTGAGACCTGATTTTTGTATAAATAATATTAATTTTAAGGCAGATTTTAAGGCAGATTATCTATATTTCTCAAGGACTGTCACAAATAAATGTCTGAAGCATAAATGTCCGCTGAGTCAACGTGATGATTTGCCAGTTTTCAGCAGAGCATCGACGCAGCGGTTTTGCCTCCGATGTGCAGATTAGCAGCGCTCCCCGTTCCTCTTCTTTGCGCGTCCCCCCAGGAGGCCGCATTAATTCAGGAGTTTTAACAAACAGATGCTATGCTCAATTGGTCAGCAAATTAATGAAGGCTGTTAGCTGATTAAACTGGCATCATTTCCCTCCCAGTGCCCCCAAACCCACAGCCTCCGACAGCACAGCAGACACAGATCCAGAGACCGACCACAGGAAGCTTAAAGCAAATGTAAGAACGGCTCACGTTGTTAAGCAACGGTTTGATAAACCGCCTTCACGTTTTCTTACTTCAATGATTTCTTATGCTGATAAAAATGCGTTCTGAACCGAGCGTTTGTGCAGCTTGATCATTCATCTCCTCCCAGCTGGAGGCCACCAGCAGCTGTCTGCCGGTAAACCTGTTCAGCTTATTAACACTGATGCCACTTTTGGCACTTTGCGTGTGAGGCTGTTGCACGAAACGCTGCGAGGTAGTGAAACTGCAGAGTCAGAAAAAGAGGGAGCGGAATGAGGAACAGCAGCGCAGATGGACCGAGTCATACGAGAACACGTGAACCTTTGTGCCCCCAAACAAACTCCAAACAGCGACAGTCACTCATTAACAGAACTTGTTGAGTCTTTTGTGTGTTTGAATGTTTAATCGCTGTGGCCGTCTGCCAGCAAACACAAGGAAACACTGGCGGGTGTGAGCGAGCACGTGTTACCTGTCGGCGGCGTAGCCCAAGCCGAGGCAGCCGGTCAGGACGCCCAGGATGAAGCACACCTCCTCCACCGGGACCAGCCAGTACTGAGCGCACACCAGGTCCCACTGCAGCACAAACAGGACAAAGCAGACGTTCACATGTTTGAGTCAGCTGGATGTGGACACAACGCCCACGAATCACGACTGAACAGCAGTAAACTGGATAAAGCAGAGGTCAGCAGTGGTTCCAAAGTTCTGATAGAAATAAATCATGAACTTCTTCTGTTTATTAGCTCCTAAACAAATTTGGCTCGCACTAGTTTATAAATAGCGCCCTGTTCATGTGCACCATTAGTCAGCCGAGTGGTTCTCCTGGTGCATTTGTCTTAACAAGGTCTGCATTACTGTGTTACCCTACGAGCTTGTTCAGCCGGTGGATTGTCTCACAGGAATCACCTTAATGCAGCAAATACTTGGATTGGAGTCCAAGTAACCACCTGAACTAGAGAGGAGACCAGCAACACTCTGGGAGGACGTCATAACAACACCACATCAACAAGGACTCTTTTCCTCTCTTTTTGTGACAGTGAACACAACACAGACTCTTGTCAAGGCGTGATATAGCTGCGACTGAAGTACCTTTACAGCAGCACTTATCAGTGGCGGCAGCAACATGCTGCTCTCACACACCAGGAGAAAGTCGCCTCGCACAACAAACCCACCGGTCTCCATCAATACCTTCACTTAAGGAGATGTGCAGTCACGCTGTGGCTGTTCTAACCTCACAGGAAGAAGAAAAGAAAAGAAAAGCATCGTCCAAAACACGATATTAGGTGATTGTTCACTTGGATCAGGTGAAATAAATATGGCTACAAGGGCTAGCAGGTCTGTCACTCAGGACAGCAGGGCTGGAATTCTGTAAAACATGAATGTGGCTTTTGGTTTGGATGTTTTTGTGGTTTTGGAGTGCAAACATCTGCCTGAGCTGGTGTGAGCATACTGGGACGGAGGAGGAGGAGCTGCAGGAGAAGAGGTGTGTCAGAGAAGTTCCAGGACTGGTGTCACAGGAGATGTACTTCAAATCCAAACTACAAGTAATCCCCCTGGAGTCTAACCCACCTCCCCAGTCTTCTCTTCACGCCTCCATGCACTCCTGGAAGGATTCTTCCTCTCAGCTCCGTCGTCACAGCCATCTTGATGTCGTCCACGTCTTCTAAACGGGTCCCCCTGATGACCCCCTTGAGCTTGGGGAAGAGGAAACAACCCTACGGAGTCAGGTGGGGTGAGTAGGGAGGTTGCTCCAGCACGGAGATGTTCTTCTCAGCCAGGACCTGTGGGATGCTCAGGGCGCTGTGAGCAGGTTGTCATGGTGACGCAGCCTCCACTGGTCCTGACACAACTCTGCCTCTCCTGAATGAAGCAAACGCTGCAGGACCTCTGTAGACGAGCTGTGACACCAGTCCTGGAACTTTTCTGACACACCTCATATTCTGGAGTTTTTTTGGGTTCTTTTGTCTTTAACCATCAGTGAACCACATTTCACATCCTGTCCTGCATGATTCAACCCAAAATACATAACATCACGATAGACATGACTCACTAATGAAGGATTATGCTTTTGGCAAATGAGGTGAACTAATTAATTACTTAGACTCTAGACGTTGGAGTCCAAGAAGTCCAAGAAAAAAGCTTTGCCAAGGACGTACTGAAACTTGATTTCTCTGAGAGGCTGCTGGCCCTTCAGCATCACTTGTGCTTTCACTGTTTTGTGTCCACTGATAAATAATTGCGTGTACACTCCCTACAAAAGGAGAGCAGCGCAGGAGAAAGCCTTCGCGGCCCATTAGCCTCGTAATGCAAACACAAGAAGACGTGACCGCACAGCATTACTTATGTGTGGTGAAGGCAGACGGAAGGCGGAGGGTGTGTGATTGTAATTATTAATTTGTGTTTGTGCCAGCGACGGCATCAGTAAACTGCTGCGACCGGATTATTAAACAAGAAAAGGTCCGTCCGGTCACATGCGTTTATTTAAAGAAGTGCTGCCACGTGGAAAAAAAAAAAAAAAGACAGATATCTGCTCTCAGATCTGAGCTTTAATCACATTAAGCCGACCCACTGATTTGCATTTACAGCTGAGCTCTGCTAATGTTGCCGTCTGCAGGCCGCTGAAAGCAAAATGGTTTTAATGATCTAGAGGGAGACAGAGCAGAGGGCCGGTGTTAGGAAAAAAAAAAAAGAAAAAGAAAAGGTCTTGCATAATTGGAACCCGTGCACAGAAACATAAAAGCCTGTCACATAACATCAGCCGCCGTGCTGCTGAGGCTCGCCGGCTAAAGGGCAGCGCCGCAGCCTCATACGGGTGGAATGCCTCGATGACAGCAGGGAGGAGGGAATGCACACTAACGAGTTGTGAAACTCCCTCGACTGGTTGGGCGACACCGGCAGGTCTGTGAAACCAGCAGCCAGTTCCTCAAAGACGTCGACAGAAACCAACAAACTGCATTCTGAGGCCTCGTCGTTACTGTGGGAGGACGTCGACCTCACACATTGTTTTAATCAGACGATGCGACTGAACTCTTCCTGTGTGTTCTGTGCATTAGCTCTGAGATGTGACACAGGATTTATTGATCAGCAGCAGAAGTGCAGCTGATCAGAGGCCTTCCCGTTCACCAGACTGCCGGCTCAGCACAGCGAGGCAGCAGAATACTCTTTCATAGCTACGTCTGACTACAAAGCTGAAATATGTCGGTCAGTGTGCAGACTTTTACTACACAGATGCATTTTCCAGCAGCTGAATCCTCCCCGTGGCAGCGTCTCTCTATGTCCCCTCGCTGCAGTGGTGTGGGTGGATTACGAGCAAACTGCCCTAATAGCAAAGAGGCTGGGTGTGGTTCCCACATCGGTAGGCACAGGAATAAAAACAGACATGCAGAGCAAAGAGAGGCCGAGCAGCCGGCCGGGCTCTGCTAAAGACGAGACGAGTCCAGCGGGCTCCGAAAGGAAATGCATGTTTGTGCCGTGAGCGTGGAAGTCAAAATGTCAGGCGGCGAGCACATGAATGCAGCGTTTCTCCGTCGTGTCCGTCTGTCTGATCTCACCAAAGATAATCCAGAACATGGAGACGACTCTGACGCTGGTTGTTGTCTCGTGT